CTCAGCGTCGAGCGGAAAGTTTAAAATTAGACGACTCGGAGACTCTGCTTGGTGGGGGGTGCCTAGCGTTGGTCGTGGCCCTCCTCGACCAATCAGAAACCTCCCCACTCTTCTCGGGGGAGGAGTTTTAGTTTGATGGCCCACGGCCCCAGACAATATTGTGTGCTTGCAATTATGGTACAATGACTTCGGTTGCCGAAAAACGAATCGTGGTGCTTGCGAGGTAAGTCGCATCGCGCATTAGAGTAGACGATATATTTTTTGTACAACTGGAATGTGAAGTGCAAAACTAAAACCTTTAAAAGCGTCTAAGAGTTTGATGTCTTAAATCGACAATGGGAGATGCAGATTTTTAATTCATTAGCGGAGCTGTGAAATGAGCTAAAACTTTTGAGCTGTGTTTCTGTGGTCTAGTAGGCCTTCACCTGGCTATGTCGTACATACCTTGGATTTAAAGGGTTAGCATTTTGTATGTCTCAAACTACGCAGGTGGATGGGAACTTTTTATCGCGGAAAGAACTGTGAAAATTTTGTAATATGATTTAGCAAGGTCACGACTCGAATTTTCCTCCGTCATATCAAATTCAGTCTAAAAGCCAGGCCATGAGCGTCAATAATGTTCAGAAAAAAGTTACCGTATTCAAATTGTTTACTTACAATGGGTACTTTGAATTGCGCTTTTATTATAGCAAATACTAAAAAGGTTTTTGTTTGCGCTTTTATCAACCAAAAACTGTTCGTGGCTCAGTTTTTTTTTTTTTTTTTTGCACAAGGTTGCAAATGGTGATATTAAAGCTCCTCAGCTCTTTAGCACAATTGAGTTTCATGTTACATTCCTATTAACTATACGTCTTATTTGTTTTGATGTTCGCTCGCCTTGTAAAAGTTCGCCATTTTTTTTTTAATTCAGTCATTATAAAACAGCACTGCTACACCTCATCTCAACATCTCTGCATCAATTAAAATGTGCCGCCACCAATTAGAGGATCTTGTACAAAACTCATAACCTTTTTTTGGGGGTTAAGTATTTTTTTAATATCTGCGTTTCAAATATGAGTGTGAGTTTCTTATTTGGTTTTTCTCTTATTATGTTTGTAGTTTAGTGCGTGTGTGGGGGTGCGCCAAGCAGAAGACTGCTGTGATTATTTTGGTGATTCAAATCTAAACAATTATTAATGCATAAATAATGTATTAGAACAGAGCAAATTTGTTGTAGTAATAGCCGGTTCATGATTATTCGCTGAACATTCCAAATGCTCGAACGTTCAAAACTCTGATAAGAAATATATTAGGCTTCACTTGTCGCCACATATGATATGACGTATTCATTATCAAGAGTGATACATGATATCATTTTGCCGTCAATTTGCTAGGCCGCTTAAGTAAGAGGTACTCAACGACACATGAAAGCTTAGACTTTTATGTGTAAACTTTTATCATGTGCGATTACTTTTATCAGCAGTAAAAAAAATCAAGATGTATTCAAAGAAAACCCCGACGCCAATATTGGCTGTCGCGCTTTTTCTAATTAAACCACGAAAAAATGTCACAGCGACTGGTGTTTAGCCATCTCATGCCGCGAGCCATGAGATGGCTTCCGGCATGAGATGACATATAGAAAAATATTTTCTTTTATAATTTTTTGTAAACGTTGGAACAATTCATCCCATGACCAATCAGCCCATGGATACGCGCAGCTGAATCTAGATCACAATAAAATTATTAGCCCTGTACTTTTCACGGCTGGTTCGCGATGTTTTCCGATTTCAGCCTTTCCGAAATAAGTCACACTTGTAGAGTACAATCAGCGTTAAAAAATTGATTCGTTGATAGATTGTAAAAGCACAATTAGTGTTTAGCGGAGTTTTGTGTTTAGATTAGTTCACAACACTCGTTTCAAAAATATTTTTGTTTGTTTGTTTGTTTGTTTTTGTGCCACATTTTTAAAACAGCTTGTTTTAGAAAAGAGGCGTTTGCGCTGGTTTCATGCGTGTTCGTACAATGCCTCGTGTCAATTTAGTTTTTACTATTCTAGCCGATCCAGCACCTCCTGTGCTATAAAAGTAGAAAATACGGCTGCTGCTAACGGATAAACAGAAGCCACTTTTCTTGAGGACGAAGAAATTTTAGCGCTTTGAGTATTATTTAAGTTAATGTTGTTTGTCTGTTGTTGTTGTTGTTTGATTTTGCTATGGTGACGCTAAGACCTAAGAAGGGTTTCGAAAAGGTTATCGACTAATAGCAATAATCATAAAGTTACCGACGGAGGTAAAAAGCAATTTTTTCCTCTTGTGAAACTTTTGTTAATGCTATCTTTTAAAGAAATATGACGAGAAGTATTCTTTTAATGTTCGACCAGCGCGAATAAGCCAGAACTGTGTGACTTTAAATTTCCTGGTGTTCACTGGAGCTTCCGGTTTGTTGATAACACGAGCCACGATACGGCAGAAAAGTGCCCGTGTCTTATTTGAGTTCCTAAGCTTCAACTGCCTTTTACAACTAAATAGTATAAAAAAAAAACTGCGGTAAATGTGTTGGATCTATGTATTGTTAACGACTGTGACGTTGTAGTTTCGAAAGTTGACACTTCAGTGGTTCCAGAAGATGTTTGGCACGATCCGTTTGTAACAACCGTGAAATTGCTGTTTCAGCTTAAGCCGGCATACAACCATGTGTTATTCGACTTTAAACAGGAAAATTACCTGGGTCTTGATCATCATTTCGCGAATATATATTGGTATTAGGGCTGGGCGTCGATTAAAAATTTTAACCCGATTAATTGCCACATTTTAATCGATTAATTAATCGATTAATCGGTTTATTAAAAAGAATGCAACAACTCGTCTTGCCTTTGAAGATTTATTTTACTCTCTGTTACACGGCGCAAAGGACATTCACAATTGAGAATACATGTAGTTCAACGATTCAAAGACTCACATATTTTTGCTTTCCGAAGGCAAAGAAGTTTGTCCACATTCTCCGACAGGAAGACAAGAAGTCAGGGCTTGGGTGATGCTTTCTTCTTTTTTCAGGAAAAGGGGCCTCGATGAGAAGGCGTTGATTGTTGTCTGTGTTTTGGCGGATGTCCTTGCTGGCAGCGGCGTACATGGTGCTTCGGTCGTAGGCGATACTGAAGCGAACTTACGCTTCCACTGTATGAAAACGGCTCTTTGCAGATGATGCAGTGGACCTCCTTCGAGTTAAAAAAATTCACCACTGGAGTTTACTTTAAACCTCAACTTTCCAGCGAGATTGCCTTTCATACTCGTGAACTCGTCCATTTGTACGGGCCGAATACTGGAACAAGTAAGCATGGCACATGAAGGCACCCTAAGCATGATGTCGTTAGCTTCCCAGCTTGTTGTTCTGCTTGTTTGTCTTGCCTGGGCAGGATGTGTAATAGATCCTCAACACGTAAAGTTTCGCGGTCGTAAAGGGATCAATTGCGGGCCCGGCTTGTTCGTCTGGCATCGGTAGAACTGTATTGTATATCCTCGAACACGTGACGCTTCGCGAGCGCGAGAACTGAACCTTGCTCATACTCATACCACCTGGCTGGGAACAGAAAACCTCTCAAGACAGAACGACCGGATGCCCGCCACGCAGCGTTTTCCTTAAAGGGGGGTAAGGGGGAGGGGGGGGGGGGGGCATGAGTCAACCTAAGTTCGGGCAGGTCGTCCAGGATAGAGCCATGCGTGCGTGCAGTTGACTTCTTTTTGAGTACCGATTAAAAAACTGATTAACCGGTCAAAAAAAATTCATCGCGATTAAAGCCTTAATCGATTAATCGCAAGGTTAATCGATCAATTGGCCACCCCTAATTGGTATCCGGTGATAACAAACACTGACGTAAATTCAGCCTGTAATGCTTTCACTGACATTGTAAGAAATGGTATTTAACGCTTTATTCCACTAAGACAAGTAAAAGGCAGAAGTTTCCATGGTGGTTTTCATCGGAACTGAAGCGTACAATGGAAGAAAAATCACGGTTTCATTTTCATTATAAACGCGGTTACGGTGACGCTTGGTACGCGAAATTTAGTAGGGCAAGGGCCGAAGTAAAGTTTCTTTATCAGAGAGATAAGGAAAACTTCAGGAATAACACTGAGAACCTCCCCCCCCCCCCCCCCCCCCCAAACTTCTGAAAAATCCTAACAATATTTGGAAGTACAAAAATAAGGTGCTGGGGCACAGAAGCCAGGTGCGTTACGTTGTCAAATTATTCCGGTTTTCATTCTGACCCCGGTGTTGTCGGCGATATGTTATCGTCATACTTCTTAAGTGTATTTTTGTGTGATATGCAATCTGCGAGCTCAGAGCCACTAGCGGTTAATCATACTGTTGTCGCGAAAACTGATAGTGTTCTCACCCCATTTAGCGTCGATCACTCTGTAGTGCACGATTGTATTAGACGTTTGAAATTTAAACTCTCATCGGGTTCCGATTGTGTACCAGCGTTAATTGTTAAAGGTTGCTCTGATGCGTTTCTGCCGGTCTTGACCTACCTTTTTAACTTGTCTATTCAAAACTGTATTTTTCCAAAAAGTGGAGGTCAGCCATTCTGGTGCCTATTTCAAATCAGGGGACTCTGCAGATGTTAGAAGTTATAGACCCGTTTCCTTACTAACCACATTCTCGAAACTGTTTAAGATTGTGGTAGAAGTGCACCTCTCTAGCTATTTCAAAGAAATATTAAATTGATCTCAACACGGCTTTGTTCAATCTAAAAGTGTTGAAACTAACTTAGCTGAGTATTTGAGTCACGTTCGCCCCATTGTTGCCAACCATGGGCAGGTTGACGCCATTTATTTTGACTTAAGTAAAGCCTTTGACCTTGTGCACCATGACCTATTAGTGCACAAGTTATCGGAATATGGAGTGTGTTTGCCCTTAGTTTGTGGTTTCAGTCATATCTGTCCGGGCGCATGAACAACGGTCGTGTTAACGGTGTGTTGTCGAGATCATACATATCATCAATCGGTGTTCCTCGGGATTCTATTCTAGGACCCTTGCTGTCTAATATTTTTGCCAACGACGTCTCTCTGTGCGTAAAACATTCAAATATGCAGCAGTTCGCTGATGATATTAAAGGGGCGGTGCAACGATTTTATGACTAAAACAATTTGCATCTCGTCATGTTTACGTTATTTATCGTGTCCCAGAGGATAGAGAAAACACTTCCTTCTTTAAAAATGTCGCGATTCCGCTGCATAATCGCAAAGCAAAAGTCGAGCTTTTTCCCCCACCTGCAGCCCCAAGTGGCAGCCGAGGGAACTACGGCGGAAAGATTACGTGACCTCGCTCGGCTCTAATGTACGCAGAGAGAGGGAGGGGTAGCGTCCACCGACATAGCACACGGGAAGCTACACGGCACTCCGAATGACGTCACTGGGAGTGCGACCAGGTGTGGACCCTGAAGACTGGGAGTGAGTTGAGGGGTGCCCGAAATGCCAATCTTTATCTTTTTTTTTACGCAACAACTAGGACACGCAGGCGAAATCGGTTTTCTGTTCTTTACCTACAGAAGTGTCAGGGGGCAACTTCCAGAAATCTTTGACCGAAGTCCGAAAATCGTTGCACCGCCCCCTTTAAGGTCTTCAAACAAATAAAATCACATGTTGATTGTGTTCTGCTACAGGAGGATATTACTGCTATTTCGTCATGGTGTCTTCAAAATAAATTAACGTCTAAGGCCAAAAGAACATGTGTTATCTTCTTATCAAGGAAGAAACGTGCGCTTGATTTTTTGTATAAGTTTTTGTATAAGAATATTGTGCACGTGACTTAGGAGCAGAGTTGTACACGTTACAAACAAAAGTAACCAATTACAATTACTTCACTGTAAAAGGTAACCGATTACAATTACATTTACAGCCTCAAAAAAGTAATCTAAAAATTACTCTAAAGTAATCTATTACTTCCGACGTTACTTTTCGTTCAACTTTTGTTTTTTATTACGGTAGCATAATCCTTGGGATCTCGCGCTCAGTTGTTCCGAAAAAAAAACAAAGAAATAGAAAGCCTTGACCGTTTTTGTTTAGAGCTGACTGAGTGACGCCAACATACTCAATCCCTCTGGTGAAAAAAATAAAAACAAAATAAAAAGAGCCCTGTTTAAATGTATTACTCACAAGAGGCTCGATAAGAAGCCATGTTTTATACCCAAACCTAATCTCAGGTGTACCAAAAGAAAATTTACCCAGGAAACGAAGCATTGTGAAGTGGCCTTCTAATCCTCGAGGTCTCCTGCTTAATAATTTTCAAAAAGAAAAAGAAATTACCGTTGCCCAGAGCAGAGTAACTCCAGCACATCTAACCCCCCCCCCCCCCCCCCCAATTCCCCCCTCCCCCTCCCCCTCCCCAGAAAAAAAAATTAGAAAAGTTGTAATGGGTAATTTTGTAATCGATTACAGCAAAAAAGTACTTCAATTACAAGGATCGTTACTCCTTAAAGGAAGTAATTGGAGCGTTACAAAATTACAGTAAAATGTAATCGCTTACAAGTAATCCATTACACGTTACGCGTTACGTACAAATCTGCTTAGGAGTGTATATTGATTCATCCCTTAGTTTTACAAATCATGTGTCAAATTGGGTTAGCTCTTGCTCGCGACTTTTAGGTTTGTTTTCACGTATTACCCGTCGTTTCAAAGAGCCGTCCTGTATCGTAAGGATTTACACATCGATTGTGCGCTCGAAACTGGAGTTTGGCTCTGTAGTTTGGAACTGTCTGGGTGTGACCAACTCTGATGGCCTACAACGTGTGCAGAGGAAGTTGACACGGATTGTTTACAACCATTATTACAGCCGCCGGATTATTTTTTTTTCTTTTGGTTACGAGTGGCTAAATTTGCAATCACTGGAGGCTCGTCGCAGTTTTCATAATTATGTGTTTTTGCATAAAACTGTGCACAGTAGATTACGTTTGTCCTAAGCTTGTTTCTCTGCTTTCTATACATGTCCCTCGAGTAAACTGTCGACACCACTACACGTTTTACGTGCAAGACATATGTTCATTTTCCCCAATTTTACGAATTCAGAGCAATTTTGATGCACTGAGCGCGGTGGTTGACGTTTTCGGGAGTGAGTGGGATTTTAAAAGCGCACTAACCATTCACATTTAATAACATCAGTGTTCGGGTTTCATTTGTGGTTTGTCAATATGTGTGCGTGTTTGTTTTCTTTTTCTTTTTAAAGTGTATGTTGTGCGTGAGTGTATACCGGTACTAAGGCCTCGGCTGTTTCTGAGCGTAAGGAAAATAAATAAATTAATAAATAAACACGTTCACAATCTAGAACCATACTGATTATTTCTATATATTTTGTCTTCCAACGTGGGTCAAAAACAATTCTTGTTTCACATGTCTCGTGCACGTTTTACCTAATTATCAGCAATAAAACTCCTATAAACATGCTTCTCCGTCTGCCTTAACTTGTGCATTGCACGTTACTATTCTGTACTCGTCTCTTGCCAAAACACACTGAGTTAAGATTATTGCAACTCAACAAACTCAAGCATTGCTTCTTCTTTTCTTTTTTTTACGCGATAGCGTTAAGGAGTTCATGTCGCAGAAAAGCCGATGTCGGTGGCGTGACGGGAAACGCCTGACTGGTCGATAGGGTCATGACGTCACGGTCACATGACCTCGCACGGGAATTTCAAACAACCCACAACGCTCACGTAAAACGTGACGTCACACATGTAATGAAAGTAATTGAAACACGACATGTAATGCGAATGACAGGTTGCCGCATGTCTCAAACGATTTCGCTTTTTAAAGTAATTCATTTGCCTTAAAATAATTTTTTTTAAGAAGTTTAGCCGGGATTAGGAACCACGACCCTTCGGTTGCGAGCCAGACACACTATTGACTAGGCAACGCAAGGCACTTTTTTTTATTGCTAGGTTACGCAAGGCACGCTTGCACGGCTTGGGAACTAGTGGGAGTTCGTATGCTTGTATGCGTGCCCGTGAAGCCCAAGTGAGGCGGCAGCAGCGACAGGACGATGCGGAGATGCCATTGCGTCTCCTCATCTCGGAGCGAACTCGCGTCTTCGAGCATAAGCAGCCAATGAGAAGGCGATGCGAACGGGGCCCGATAACCCTATCGCGTTCTACTCTTAAAGGCGAAGCTTAAGTGCCCTCCAACTTTCTTCTTTAAAGGCACCGTTCAACCGACTGACAGCATCGCTAGGAAAGTTGGTCTTTTGACTAACTAATTCAGTGGTTCTCAGCCATTGATGTTTCGGAGACCCCTTCTGGTTCCAGAGAGGTTATGGGGGACCCTATCCACCAGGAATGAGGGGGGTATTAGACGATTACTGTGACAAAGTAGTAAACAAGAAAACAAGATCTGTGCAAACTTTGTAGCTCCGCAACAGAGAGTAATCAACTTATATGGATGTAAACTTATGGACGGCATTTTTCGTGTGTGTGTGTGTGTGTCTTTTTTATGTACTACAAAGTCGTATTGTACGTAAAGATTTTTTTTTTCTTTGCTGCTACTGTGCAAACGTCAATTTGGGGGCCTGTGGCTTCGGCAAACTGTCCGCGGACAGCGTTTTCCGCAGGCCACCAGTATCATGTACTTGTAAGCTTCATGCAAATAAAAATGTATCTATCTATCTATATAATCAACCCTACATACTCACTCGGTGCACATGGTGTGGTCTATTTAGCTTTGTAAAACAGTCACCGTCAAAAATTAAAAAAATATATATATATATATTACCCGTCTTGTCTGACAGTCGAGGCCTTCAGGGACCCCAAGGGTCCGCGGAGCCCTTTTGAGAACCACTGACGTATTTGATGGCGTCGCTGATTTCTTTTACAATTGACTTGCTGAGTCTAATTGGGGTGTTTTTTTTTTTTCTTTTCTAAATGGGTCAGGAAACAATATCGGGTTGGAATGTTCACGACTTTACAGAGGCGTACTGTCCTAGTCTGGCACAAGTATATCCGCACGAATTGCCACTGAATCAGACGCTTCTTGGTCCCGGTAAAATTACGAGGATAAAAGGGGACTTTTTTTTTCAGTATTGCCTTCGCAAAGCTTGATGGCGTGATTGGGATCGAAACTGTTTCCAGATTCTTACGTAGTGTTGGGCTATGATACTATATTTTGTAAAACAAACACAGTCGAGCAATCTTTTTACGAAGGGAGAGGTCAGGCAAGCCTAAGGTTATTTTCATTATTTACACACTAGAACTGCGGTGATAGTTATGCAGTACGAAGCGAACAGAACGACTTTGAACGGTTTCTAGTGATAATGCAAGTGTTTTGGCTGGATATCCCAGATGGAGGCAGCGTACTCCAGTTTGGTGCGGACCAAGGATTTGTAGAACCGAAGTTTTAGGGACAATGGTGCGCGGGAGAAGTTTCTTTCAAGGAAGCCCAGCATGCGATTAGCCGCATGAATTACATACTCAATATGAGCGTTTTATGAGATGTTGTTAGCAACGTGTACACCAAGATATTTATATGAAGATACAGTGTCCAGTGCAACATTATCGATGTACTAAGACGAACAAGCGTTATTCTGGCGTGATACTCTCATGGATTTACACTTGCTGGTATTGAGCTTCATTTGCCATTTATCGCACCAACGGAAAATATGATCAAAATCAGTTTGAAGCGACTGGACATCAGAATCATTAGTAATTTCAGAATAAATAACACAGTCGTCAGCGAACAGACCAATTCGAGATGAGACATGCAAGGAGAGGTCATTAATAACGATAAGGATTAAAAAAGGACCTAGTACAGAACCTTGGGGTACACCAGAGGTCACTGGTGAGGGTTGAGAGTTACGGCAGTCAACATGAACAAATTGGGAACGATTAGTAAGAAGCACTTGATCCAAGCTAATACATCATCATTAATGTTGAGAGAACTGAGTTTATATAAAAGAATCCTGTGTGAAACCTTATCAAATGCTTCAGAAAAATCTAAGAACATGCACTCGACCTCAGATGAACGATCAAGGACGGTATGAAGGTTATGAGCAGGGTTGAGCAGTATCGCGATACAAATGTATCGCGATAGTATTTCAGAAATACGTTTCTTATCTGTATTTCTGTATCGCGATACATTTTTTTCACCAGTATCTGTATTCCTGTATCGAAATACATTTCGAATGTTTCTTTGTATCGCGATACAACCAGGATGAAATGTATTTCGTTACATTTCCTGAGAAATACTCCACCCCCCCCCCCCCCCCCCGCCCTCTCCTCCGAAAAAAAAAATACAGGTCCAAATGCTTTTTTTTTTTTTTTTTTTCACTTCTGAGGGCATTAAGGTCAAGGAGATTCTGGGGCGTTGTTACTATACTAACCAAGGTCCCTTCCGATTCTCCAAACTAGTTTTCTATGCGTTTTCTTCTCTCTTCTGAGAAGTGTTGAGAAGTCGGGGATTCGAACCAGCTGGCGAGCCAGGGGTGGAGTCAGAGCATCTTCTGCCGCAGGTCCTTAGGTAGGGATTTCTTGAGTCATTGTTTGCTGGCATCCAATGCCCACTGCTAACCGTCTCTCTTGCCTTAGTATACACAGTACACCAGCAGGCAAATATGAGTCACAGTCCGTTGCAGCACGAGCCTGGCGGTGGTTGACTTGAAATAGTAGCATGACTCACGCAGGGAAGTTTAACACATATTAGGATGCGTCTGCGGCTGCGCCCGTAATATTGTACGGCTCAAGGGTACGTCATCAGCCAACGTGAACGCGACCCGCTGCTCTGGTAATCCGAAACCCAGGAAGGAGGCCAGACGTGGCCTCGTTGTGCCGACCCCAACTTCGTACACCTGCGACTCGTCTCAAACGCGCTGTTTCTCAGAGAGCTAGCACCTGTGCCGGCAATATTAGCTCGCAATCCAGGATGTTTCTGTTTAGATGATGCTAGGCGAAACTTGAGGACTGCAATTCATGCATCAATGCCGGAGGGTCGGCAAGAAGGACCTTCCCAACAGGGATGTCACCGTATCGTTTTTTCAACCATAACAGAAGATAAGACATGTGTTCCAGAATGCTTCCAGGTGGTTCACTACTTTCAAAAATTCCCAATGACGCTGCCTGCACGATCTTTAACGAGGTAACCTATGACGAAAATACTATTGTCCTTTCACAGAGCAGCGGGGTAAAGTTTCATGTTCAAGGCCACACCTACACATAAAGAATACCAGTTTATTCTACCGTGACGTCATATGATCAATGTTGACAGTGGTGACGTTTTGATTTTAATTTAGGGTGACATGGAATTTATTTAGAGGTCGAAGTCTGTTTGCATCCCTCGTCAGACAGACAAGATGTCAGGGAAGGGACCATGGTCAGTCCTTGATAGAACGTTTTTTTGAGCTCATTGAAGACTCCTCGTCGTCTGAAACCACTACCGTCAAGGCAAAGTGCCAAGCTTACGGGAAAGTAATTTCGGGATCAAAAATTTCCACTTCAAACTTCAAGCTTCATCTCAGTTTCCGTCTGAAACAAATTTGAAAAATGTATTGCAGTATCAGCATTTCTGTATTTGTATTTCTGCCCTCCCTAAAATGTATTCCTGTATTTGTATTTCCAAATGCTTTTTGCCTCTATTTAAAATGTATTTCCGATACGTATCGCGATACATTTTTACAGATATATTTTAGTATCAGTATTTTAGCTACTACTTCAATGTATTCCAGTATTTGTATTTCCAAATACATTTTTGAGTATTTCTGCCCAACCCTGGT